TTAATTTCACTTTGAAATTTTGTTGTTTCTTAATTTTGTTACCATGTTTAATCAGCATCACACTGTCCTTCCATTCTCCCTTTCTTTAGCTTTTGTCTTTGAACAAAAGTCTTTCTACTTTGAACATACTCAAATCTCCATTTTCTATCACATCAACTTTCAGTAATAGTCCTGATTCCACACAATGTTAGACAATGATACTACTCCATTTTTCCTTTCAAGTCTTCTACCCTTTCACCACATACTATGTAATTTTTACATTGTCAAGTAATGGTAACATTTACATTCTGTATTATAACCATACTTTAACCTGCTTATGTTTTGACTATAGGTAGATTTTAATAGTTGAAACATACTATTTACATGAATATGATTATGTAAAAATGTTTTATTCCACAACTAAGTAGAACACTAGGATTAGATTTCTTTCTCTGTGTTCAACATCATGAACCATACAAAGAATATTTTTAGCATTTCAGTCACATGGTTCCTCTTTTCATACGCTCTACAAATTGCTCAAAATTGTGCTGTTTTGTTTCACATTTTGAGCACGATTTTATTGTATATTTGGGGGGCTTTTCCCTAAAGTTTCCAGTTGCCTTTTTTTCTATTGTGAAAATAATCATATACATTCTTCATATATGTGTCTTTAAGACTACGTAACTTCTCAATTCCTTTATCTGCTGCTTAGAGCCAGTTGTATTCTTTGTCCTGAATATTTTTTACTTGGGCCATATAGATTTCATCTGCTAGCTGGGGTTTATTACTTACAATTGATAAAACTTTACTCTAGAATTGCTTTTTCTTATTATTTATATTGTTTGATCACCGGGTCAGTTCCACCATTTCTGTATAGGATATTTTCCTCTTTCTTGACCTCCATCTTTGGTTGGCTAGAGTAATAAATCAGGTGCCTCGGGATCAGTTCATGGAAGTAAAACCCATGGAAATACCTTTATTTTTTCTTTACACATGATATTTGCTGAGTATAGAAATCCTGGTCAAATTATTTTCCAACAGACTTTAATTACTGCAGAGTTTTTCACTACTGATTATTTTTTAGTTTAATTCCAGTGTAGTTAACATGCAGTGTTATATTAGTTTGAGGTGTACAGTATTCACTACTGTTATTATTGATGAGAAGAGTGTTGCCAGTTCCTTTACATATTACCTATTTTCCCCTGTGAATGCTTTTAGGCTTTTATCTTTATCTTTTTTGTCTAGTATGGAGGGTTTTGGTTGGGTTTTTTTTTGTTTTTTTTTTTTACATTAATCCGCTCAGTTGTCTCTTTTAATCTAAACATGAAAGTCTCTCCAGCTCAGATGCTTTTTATTTCTTTAATTTTCTTTCTCCATTTTTCTCTTATTTCTTCTGGAATAATAAATGTTTGGTTGTTGGACCTCTGACTCATCTTATATATCTGTTTAATTTTCAATATATTTCTTTTTGCTCTGTGTTTCAGCAGTTTTTTTTTTTAGTTAAAATCCGGTAGGTGAAATATATCACTTAATTTACCTTTTATTATGAATAAAGATGTGTAATTATCATATGTTTTTTGGTCACTTATATTTCTTTTTCTATGAACTCTCAGTTCATATGCTTTTGTCCGTTTTTTATTGGGTTGTTCCTATTTATACCGTAGGGATTTCTCCCATCGTCAGTTATATGAGTAGCAGATAATTTTTACTAGTTTATCTTTTGTCTTTGCCTATGGTAGTTTTCCCCTACATGAAGTAATTTTTGTTTCTTGTGTAGTTGGATTTATTCATCTTTTTATGGCATCTTAATTTCACTTAGGAAAGACTTCCTCACATATATGAAAAAAGATCATCTCATGTTTTCTTATAGTACTTTTATGTTTTATCCTTACATTGTGATTATTATTCTAAGGAGAATTTCTTTCAATGTAAGGTGTAAATAGGGAACCCACTCTTTTCTTTAAGTGTCCAGCCAGTTGTTCCAAATGGTCTTTTCCCTATTGATTTGGAATGACACCCTTATTATATAATACATTCTGTGCCTATTTTTAAATTTTCTGTTCTATTGGTGTGACCTGTTATGAGCTATATCTTACTATTGTAATTATTGTGCTTTTATAATATATTTTAATATCTAGTAGGACTAGACCCTTTTCTCTCCTTTCTTTTTCCCCCTCCCCTAATTTCTCCTGGATTTTCTGCTGTTATTTCTGTTTTTATTTTTGAACATTAGAGTCAGCATGATAAATTCTGCACACACAAATCATACTAGTATTAATTGATATCATGTTAAATGTATAAATTATTTAAGGGAGAATGGACATCTTTATGAACTTAAGTCTTCCTATACAAGAATATGATATGTTTTTCCATTCCTTCAAGTTGTTTATGTTATACAGGAACATTTTAAAGTTTTCTTTATCTTAAAGCAGTAAAAATTAAACTTTTCCCCCCCTCCAAGTGGCTAGTCACTTCTACCAGGATCATCTATTAAAGAATACATCCTATTACTTTACTTAGAGATTCTGGTTTTTTTCCCATACAAAATTGCAGCAACTACTTGAGTTCATTTCTGTAGTCAGTTCTGTTCCCTGGATCTGCATCAGCCAATATTATATATACTGTTTTTTGGCTTTAATGTCTGTTAAGGCTAGTGTCCCCTCATTATTCTTCTTTTAAACATTCAGTATATTAAAAGCTATTATGGGGCGCCTGGGTGGCTCAGTCGTTAAGCGTCTGCCTTCAGCTCGGGTCATGATCCCAGGTCCTGGGATTGAGCCCCACATTGGGCTCCCTGCTCGGCAGGAGGCCTGCTTCTCCCTCTCCCACTCCCTCTGCTTGTGTTCCCTCTCTCGCTGTATCTCTCTCTGTCAAATAAAATCTTTAAAAAAAAAAAGCTGTTATAAAACTTCTTACACTATATTAAAGGCTCTATCTCATACACACACAAAGAAAACTACAGAACTGCCTCACTTCAGGTATTATTTATCTTAAAGTATTAGCTAATGGATTCAGTAGTTCGTGAAAACATACACATGCACACTCCACAATCAAATGGCATTTATGCTAGAAATACAGTGGATCATTTTAACTTTAGGATTATCAGTAACACACATATACACACACATTCTCTCCCACAAAAACACACAACCTTAGTAAAATATGAATAGAAAGCTATTCCTTGGCATACTAAATAATATATATCCCAAACCAGAAACTTCAGTCGGGCTTAATAATCAAAGATTCACACTCCATTCACGTTATGAATAACAAGGAACAATCAATAACTCTTCTCATTTGTGTTGGTGTACAATACTAATGGAGTTAAACAAGGGAAAGAAAATGAGTATAATAAAGGAGGAGACAAATCATGATTTGCAAATTTCGGTTTCCATTTTGTATATCCATTTCCATCTCCTAACTTCCCAATCATATCCTACACTCCAAAGTACAGCCAGTGTTAAGAGCATGTGACTAATTCTAGGGGGGGAAATAGAAGAGGATAAAGGAAAGTATATTTACATATATTTTTAATCCATATTTTTATTAGTATAGAATTATAATCAACATTTTCTTTTTAAAAATATATTCTGAGTCTACCATTATATTCCCTTTTTAAATTTGTATTTAATTTTCATCATTAAAATAATTGGATCTTCCATTAATGACAGCATGATGAGGTTGGGTGATTCTCCTCCATAGAAAACAGGCATAAGAATGTTAGAATGACTATAATAATATCCGTGAAGATATATTGTAAAACAAAGAGTGATACTAGACACACAGAAGGACATTTCATAATTATAAAGAAATGAATACAGCAGGAAAGTATAAAAATTCTCTAAGTATAGGGCGCCTGGGTGGCTCAGTTGGTTAAGCGACTGCCTTCAGCTCAGGTCATGATCCTGGAGTCCCGGGATTGAGTCCTGCATCGGGCTCCCTGTTCGGCAGGGAGCCTGCTTCTGCCTCTGACCCTCCCCCCTCTCATGTGCTCTCTCTCTCTCATTCTCTCTGTCTCAAATAAATAAATAAAATCTTTAAAAAAAAAAAATTCTAAGTATATATAAATGTAAGAGAAACACAAAATACATGAAGCAAAAGCTAACAAAAACTGAAAGGAGCAATAGATAATTCTACATTTAGAGTTGGAGATTTTAGTAACCTTCTCTCAACGGTTGATAGAATAAGTAGGCAGAAAAACAAGATAAAGAAGACTTGAGTAAGGCAAGTCAATGTAATTGACATCTACAGTAAACTATACCCAACAACACATTCAAAGTGGACTTGAAACATTCATCAAGATGAGCCATATACTGACCCACAAACAAAATGTATTAATAAATATGAGGAAATTGAAATTATGCAGTGTGTTCTGCAACCACAAGGAATTAAATTAAAAATCAATGCCAAAAAAAAATCAGGATAGAAAGAAATAAGGAAAATCCCCAAATATGTAGAAAATAAATAACATATTTCTCAGTAACCCATAGGTGAAAGAAGAATTCACAGGGCAAATCAGAAAATACTTTTACTGAATGAAAATAATACAACATGAAAATATTCAGTATATAGCTAAAACAGTGCTAAGACACAGCTTTAAAGATCTATTTCTGAGAAGAAAGGTCTAAAATCAATATCTAACGTGCTGCTTTAAGAAGCTAAAAAAGAAAAAGTAAATTAAACCCAAGGTAAATAGAAGAATGGGAATAATAAATATCATAGCAGAAATCAAGGAAATAGATAATAGAAAGAAAATCAATGAAATTAAAAGCTGGTTCTTTAAAAAATTCAATAAAATTGGTAAACCTTTAAGTAGAATGATCAGGAAAAAAGATGCAAACTAACAATATTAAAAATGAAAAAATGGATAGTATTAAAGATACTATAGATACTTAAAAATAAAAGAATATCATGAACAACTGTATGGTAACCAATATGACAACTTAGATGAAGTGGACAAATTCCGTGAAAAATACAAATGACCAAAATGGACTCAAGAAGAAATAGAAAATCTGGGGTACCTGGGTGGTGCAGTTGGTTAAGCATCCAGCTGTTGGTTTTAGCTCAGCTCGTGATCTGGGGGTCCTGGGATCCAGCCCCACATTGGGCTCTGTGCTTAGCATGGAGTCAGCTTGGGATTCTCTTCTCTCTCTGCCCCTCACTCCAACACTCACTCACATTCTCTCTCTAAAATAAATAAATAAATCTTTTTAAAAAAGAAAGGAAGGAAAAACCAAAATCTAAATAGACTTCTATAAAGAAATTCAATTAGTAATATAACACCTTCCAACAACAACAACAAATCCAGCCCCCAAAGGCATAGCTAGTAATTCTGGCAAGCAATGGAGGAATTAAAAATAACAGTCCTACCCAGATTTTCAGAAAATACAGGAGTAGAAAATGTCACAACTCATTTTATGAGGCCAGTATTACCCAGATACCACAGCTAAATAAAGACATTGTGAGAAAAAAAAAAAAAAAACAAACGAGCAGACAATATTCCTCATGAACATAGACACAAAAATCCTTAAAAAATATTAGCATATTAAATCTAGTAATGTATAAAAAGGATGATACATCATAGTTACGTGAGATTTATCCTAGCAATGCAAGGTTGGTTGAACTTCCAAAAATCAATTCAATGTAATATACCATGCTACTAAGATAAAGTTGAAAACCTATATGACTATCTCAGTAGATGCAGAAAAGTATTTGACAAAATTCAATACAAACTCAAAAACCCTCAGCAAAGTAGGAATTAAAGGCAATCTCCTTAACCTAATAAAGGATGCTTAAGAAAAAACAATATACTGGGGTGCCTGGGTGGCTTAGTTGGTTAAGCGTCTGACTCTTGATTTCAGGTCAGGTCATGATCTCGGGGTTGTGATATCAAGCCCCGAGTGGGGCTCTGTGCCCAGTAGGCAGCCTGCTTGAGATTCTCTTTCCCTCTGTCCCTCTGTCCCTCTCCGGCGCATGTGCACGCTCGCTTGCTCTCCCTCTAAAATAAATAAATCTTTAAAAAAAAAAAGATCCTCTCTCTCCCTCTCCCCTCCCACCCACCCCCCACGTTTGCTTGCACTCTCTCTCAAAAAAAAAAAAAAAAAAAAGGAAAATACTTCATGGTGAATGATTTTATGTATTTCCATTTAAGATCAAGACCAAGGCAAGGACGTTTACTCTCACCACCTTTATTCACCATTACACTGGAGTCCTAGCTAATGCATTAAGACAAGAAAAAGAAATGAAAAGACTTACAGAATAGAAAGGATGAAGTAAAACTATTATTGTCAGGTGACATGTATATAGAAAGTTGTAAGGAATCTGCAAGAAAAATAAAAACTAATAGAACTAATGATGTGAATTTAGCAAGGCTGTAGAATACAAGATAATAAATAAGAACTAATTGTATTTCTATATACTAGAAATGAACTATCCAAAAATGAAATTAAAAAACAAAAACAAAACCACAGTAGCATTATATAATTACCTTGAAATGAATTCAACAAAAGATATGCAAAACCTGTACACTGAAAACTGCAAAGTATTGCTGACAGAAATTAAGACCTAGATTAATTGAGAGATATACCATGTTTTTGAATTGGAAGACTAAATGTTTTAAGGATGGCAATTCTCAAAAAATTTGATCTATAGAGTCAGTACAATCCCAGTCAAAATCTTGCTAGTCTTTTTCATAGAAATTGACAATATGATTCTAAAATTTATGTGGAAATGCAAAGGCATAAAGTAGCAGAAAAAAATTTTAAGCACAAAATCTGAGGACTTACAGTACCTGATGTATAGACTTCCTGTGAAGCGACAGTAGTCAAAATGGTTCAGTATTAGCCTAAGGAGAGACATATAGATGAATGGAAGAAATTTGGAGTCTAGAAATAGAACCATACTTAATAGGATAATTGATTTTTTACAAAGATGCTAATGTAATTCAAGGGGGAAAGAATCTTGTCAAAAAATGGTTCTAGAATGACTAGATGTCCATTTGGAGAAATTTAAAAAAAGATCCTTAACAAGGTCTTCACACCAAACCCCAAAATTGATTCAAAATGGATCCAGACCTAAATATAAATGCTAAAAATGAAAACATCATGCTAAGTGAAAGAAACTAGACACAAAAGATTACATACTGAATGATTTCAGTTGTATAAAATGCCAGAATTAGAAAAATATACAGTGACAAAAACCAGATTAGTAGTTACCTAGGACCTGGGGTAAGAATGGGGATTGAGGATTGACTACAAAGGGAGAAAATTTTTAGGGATAGATAATTGACTGTTTTTAACTTGATTATGGTGTAATTTTCACAACTGTTACACACTTACCAAGACACATTGAACGGAATTTTGAATTACCTCAAATAAACTGGAATAAAAATATAATTATGTGATTTTAAATTACTACTGAAAGATTAATTTAAAAGTTTGCTACTACTCCTTCTTCCCATCCTCTCCCCTGAACTTGTCTTGCCTTATGTAATTCTTCAGGAAAACCACTTTCAACTATTTCAGCTCATATTTTCTAGCTTATAATAATGGGGTATGGCACTATCTCTTGGTCCACCAATATTTGACATTCATTTCTTCTTGTAACATGATTTTAATCCTTTTTATGCCTTATTTTGCCTTATCTCACATCCTAATATATTTAGTTATTACTGGTTAAATACACACTTAGTGTTTTCATTATTATGACCGTATAAATATTATTCAGTAATGAAGCAAATAGTGCATGTGGTTATATCTTTTCTGTTTTTTATTTTTATTAAATAATTACCTCATTTTAAAAAATTTTGCTTACTTACCATTGTTATCTGAGTTTCTTCCCACACACTTCAATCCATCTTTGTAATATCTTTCACCTGTGAGATAATTAGTTTGGTTATTTTCCTAAGATATCCTTCCTAGAGCCTTCAGTTTTTCTGATTTAATCTTGACTGCTCCCTAGGTCTCTTTCACAGCTGTTGTCATAAGACTTCTCTTTGCTCTCATCCTGGAAATTCCCTACACCTGCTTCCTGTGTTGGAGCCTTGATTTCCTGTGCCCCATACCTTCATGGTTTATTCCCTCATTTACAGGAGCATATCCTCTAATGGCTTCCTGAAAAGGGATAACTGAGAGGTAAATTTTTTGAGATTTTACATGCTTGAATATGTCATTTTCTATTCCTACAATTATGTGATATTTTAGGTGAGTGTAGAATTCTAGATTGAAAATCATTTTTACTCAGAATTTTTGCAGTGTTGCTCTACTGCCTTCTAACTTCCAGTTGTGCTGTTTAGTAGTCCAGTGCCATTCTGGCTCCTGACCTTTTAGTTATTTTTCTCTTTGGAAGTATTTATTATCTTCTCTTTGTGCCTAGTGTTCTGAAGTTTTAAGGTATTGTATTTTTCATTTATTGTGCTGTGCGCTAAGTAGGTCCTTGCTTTCTGCAGACTTAACATCCTTCAGTTCTTGGAAATTTTCTTGCCTTACTTTTTTGATATTTTTCTCACCTCTGTTTTCATTGTTCTTTCTGGAATTCCTACAAATCAGGTATTAAACTTCCTGGATTTCTTTTTCTATATTTTTACCTTGCCCTCCTTTTACTCATTTTTTTATTCTGCCTTCTGGAAAATTGCCTTGACTATAACTTCAAACTTTTATTGAACTTTTTTTCAGCTTTTATTGTCTAATTGTTCTTTTCTTACTGGTTCTTCATCTGGTTAGTGATAGACAATAGTTTCTCTTAGACTATTTTAGTTTCCTTGATATTTTTTTCTGTTTCTCAGCACTCCCATGATGTTTTAGTCTCTGTCCTTAATATTGGAGACTTTCCTGAAATGCATAAAAGTCCTTGACGACATGTCATTTATATTTAAACATCATTAAAAGCTGGTGGAAAGTGGAGTTTGAGGGCAGAACTCTTGTCTGTTGGTGGACTGTGCTGCAGGAAATCCCTAAATGTCATGATCTTTCTCTAGGTTAATCAGTTTTGGATCCTTTTCTGGGGAAAATTTACCACCTCCTATGTAGACCTGCTTGTGTTCTAGAGGTATACTGAAGAAAGGGGCTTTGAGTCTCATTAAACTTCATGTAATCTTCTGGTTTTAGTCACAGCTTTACCCTTATCTACTTCTGTGTCTATTTAAATCCAAAGTCGGTTGGGTTTAATTTTTCCAGAAACTACACGTTCTGATTTCTGAAGGATTGGGAAGTCATTGACTGTACTAGGTGGAGTTAGAGACCTGGAATGCTAATAGTTCCAAGTATCTCCTAGTCCCAAACCTTTCTGAGGTTCTGTGACAATTGGCTTCCTTTTTATCTATAGGCACTTAATTTAATATTCTTCATCTCATTTATCATTCTTTTTTTTTTTTTAACCCTGTCTGTATATTATGGTTTAAGGTGACAGTTTTCTAGCTTTATCAAAGAAGGTGTTTTTCTTACTCTCCTTATTTAGGAGTAAGTTGGGGCACAAAGGTCTTTACATTGATATTTTGAAATCAAAAGTCTGTTCCCTCCCTTTTTATAAACACACCGCTCTGTTGCTCTTTCTTGACTCCTTACTGTATTTTGGTGATCATTTCATATCAGTACATACAGTTCTATATCATTCATCTTAATAGCTGCATAGTATTTCATGAAATGCACTACTATAATTTACATAACCATTCCCCTGTTGATAGGTTATTTCTAACTTTTGCTTTCATGAACATTGCCTCATTAAATATTCTTTAACCTACTTTTTGGTGAATTTTTTACAAACATAGCCATATAACAAATTCCTAGTGGTGGGATTGCCTAGTCTAAGAATACGTACATTTTAAATTTTGAATCATTTTGTCAAAATTGTCTTCTAGAAAGTTTACATTTCCACCAACTTTCTAAGAGTACTATCTTTGTAGTCATGGGTTTCATCAAGCTCCAATGTTTTTCTTTTTTTTTTTTTTTTAAGATTTTATTGATTTATTTGCCAAAGAGAGAGGGGTGAGAGAGAGAGAATACAAGCAGGGGGAGCAGCAGGCAGAGGAAGAAGCAGGTCCCCTGCTGAGCAAAGAGCCCAATGTGGGACTCCATCCCTGGACCCTGGAATCATGACCTGAGCTGAAGGCAGACACTTAACACTTAATAAGCTTAATGTTTTTCAATCTGATAAGTAAAAAATGGAAATATATCATTGTTTTATTTGTATTTTTAAATTATTTTCTTAAGCTTATCCCATTTAAATTTCCTTTTCTGCAAACTGTATTTGTACTGTTTTCTTATTCATATTTTTCTAATTGACTTATCTGAGCTATTTGTAAATTACCCAAAAAAATTAGCCTTTTGTCCTATGTATTACAAATATATCATTACCAGTTTGCCAGTGGTCTTTTCATTTGGTTTGTGGTAGTTTTGCCAAACCAGATTTTTTACTTTTAGTCATATTTATCCACCTTTTCCTGTATGTCTTCTTGGTATTATAATGTTAATATATAAATAAACCATAGTTTTCCCTTATATGAACAATAACCAATTATATAATGGAAGAGAAGAACTAATTTATAAAATTAACAAAAAGATCACTTATCTAAGAGATAAACTTAGTAAGGCGTAGCAGAATTTACATGAAGAAATCTTTTAAGACTTAAGAAGGCAAAGATTTCTTGGACAAGACATAAGAAGTGCTGATCATAAAAGAAAATGAGATAAATAAAACTTTATTAAAATTAAAAATTTGTGCTCATTAAAAGACAACATTAAAATGAATAGATATGCCACAGAATGGGAAAAAATATTCTCAGTACTTATAAGTGACAAAAGAAGTTATATCCAGAATATATAAAGAACCTCTGAAGTCAACATTTAAAAAAAATCAACTACCTAATATAAAAATGTGTGAAGACTCAAACAGACATTTCACAGAAGATAAACAAATGGCCAATAAGCACATGAAAAAATTTCAACATCATTAGTCATCAGTAAATGCAAATTAAAACCATAGTGTTTTTATACACCACTACATACCCACTAGAATAGCTAAAATAGAAAAACTGATACCACTAACTAGTTATGAGGATAGAGAGCAACTGGAATTCTCATTTATTGCTGGTGGGAATGCAAAATGGGCAGTCACTTTGGAGAACTGGTAGGCAGTTTCTTACAAAGTTAAACATAACATTTACCTTATGTATTTGGGAGGTCACCAAGACCACCTCCAGGTTTGATGGTTTACTAAGAGGACTCATAGGACTCTGTGTAATCATGCTTATGACCATGGTTTATTACAGCAAAAGGATACAAACCACAGTCAGCAAAAGGAAAAGGTGCATGGGGAGAAATTCAGGGTAGATTAGGTGCAGGGTTCCAAGGGTCCTCTTGCAATGGAGTCACAAGATACACTTAATTTCCCCAGCAAGAAGTTGAGACAACATGTATGAAACATAGACAACCAGGGAAGCTTGTTAGATTTAGTACACAAATACTTGGAGGCTGATCCCTCTGCCCAGCACATACCCAAATTCCAGAAGGCAAGCAGGTATTTAACATAAAACATATTGTTTTCATAAATAATTCAGGCACAGTGAGCCACTTTTATCACATAGGGGGTGGAAAGTCTTTCAAAATCCATGATCCAAGTTCCCAGACACCAACCAGGGGCCAACCTTGCAAGCAGGCCTTCTTAAGGATAAGTAGTCAGTCTGCATACCATATAACCCAGAATTTTACTCCTAAGTATTTACCAAAAGAGATAAAAGTATAGGTCCACTGGGGCGCCTGGGTGGCTCAGTTGGTTAAGCGACTGCCTTCGGCTCAGGTCATGATCCTGGAGTCTCGGGATTGAGTCCCGCATCAGACTCCCTGCTCAGCAGGGAGTCTGCTTCTCCCTCTGATCCTCCCCCTCTCATATTCTCTCTCTGTGTCTCATTCTCTCTCTCAAATAAATAAATAAAATCTTTAAAAAAAAAAAAAAAGTATATGTCCACTAAAACAAAAACAAAAAAACTAATATAAGAATGTTCATGGCCAAAGCCAAAACAACCCATATATTCAACAACTGGAGAATGGATAAACAAATTGAAATATATTTTGAACTGCTACATGGCAACTTAAAAGAATTGATTACTGATACATTAACAACGTGGATAAATCTCAGATACAATATGTTAAGCAAGAAGCCAAACACAAAAGAGTATACACTGTGATTCAATTTATATGAAGTCAAGAACCTGTAAAAGTAACCTATGATTACAGAAATCAAAATGCAGTAATCTAGGGGCAGAGAGAGAAATGAATTGGAAAAGAGCATGAGGTAATGTTCCAGGTTAATAGTATGTCCTATATCTTGTTTTGTATGGTGGTTACATGGATATAAAAAGTGCTTGTGCAGTTCACTGTATGTTAATTATAGTACAATTAAAAAGTAACTACTAAGGAACATTGAAAAACAGACTTAGATAAGTGTAAGTACATCCTTGGATAGGAAAGATAGCTTGTAAAAATGTCAGTTCTCCCTAAATTAGTACAAATCATAGTTTCTCAATCAAAATACAAACAAGCTTGCTTTGATCTTTATTTTTGAATTTCACAAAATGATTCTAAAGTTAATCTGGAATTATAAACCAAGTTTAGTGAGACTGTGAAGGGACAGAAGGGAAGGCATTGGGCTGAATTTAAAGGAAAGGTATGATTGAAATGGCAGTGAATGGGAATAGATGTAGAAGAAACATCATGGACCCTTACAAAGGCAAAGAAAACTGTAAAGGAAAAAGATTGATCTAGAAAGATTAGAGCTTGGAGTGTGGGGAAAAAGCATAAGGACAGAGCATAGTTGTAATGGTTGATGAGGCTTTGAGTTTGAAGTATATTCTAGATAACAGAAACTCACCATATTATTTTAATTGAGTAGTGATATGATTAGATACATGTTTTAGGTAGCCAGTTTTAGTGACACTGGATAGGCAATTGGGGGAGGGGATTGAATGCTGTGTTTTCAGGGCTTTTTGCCTCAGCTCTTAGTGTACACTTAACCTGCTCCTCATTTTGTGCCTATCAGAAATCCTACCAGTCATTAAGCTTCTTTCCCTTAAACAAGCACATATGTACACTTTCTCCTGTAATTACTATATTCTGCCTTGTAGATTGTAAGGTAATAAAGGTTTTCATCTTCACTTATATACACATGTGAATGGTTTTTTCCCCTCTTCACTTTGTCAGTGTCTTGTAGATAGCAGTGGCTTTACAAATGCTTCTTGAATTAGAGACCTATCATTGTTCCATATGAGAACTCTTTAGAGTTTAGTAGTGATAGAGATGCTCCCCCCAAAAGTGATGAGTTTGTGGGTGGTTTAATGGGGGAAGTGATATCATGCAAAAGGAGCTGAGATCTCCAAAGTGTCCAACCTTAGAGATTGAGAGAGTGGTGATATCATGAATAAACAAAGTAAGAGGTACCAACAAAAGAAACAATTGAAGGCGGCCAGAAAAATATCCTAGAAAGATTATTTTGACTTGTTTTTGGGAAAA